CCTGGGCAGGAAAGTCTGTGACTCTTATCTCCAATTAGCCACCAAAAAAGCTGGAAATGGCGCTATGGCTCAAGTGGTTGAGCACCAGCCTTGAGTGCAAAAGCTGAAGGCCAGCACCCAGGTCCCGAGTTCAAGCCCCAGTACTGGCACACACACAAAGAAAGAGAGTGAGAGTGCTTGACCGCTGGAGTGGCAGCACCCAGCCCCGCTCTCCAGCCACGTGCCTACACCACAGGCCACAGGGGCTCCTTCCCTCTGCCCAGCTGCTCGCCAGCTCTGAGCGGATCTCCCTGAGCCTCCTCCCAGCTGAAGCTGTCTGCTCAGAGGCCCCCACCCGCCAAGCTCTGGGCCCTGCCAAGGCCCTTCCTACGGCTCAGCCCTGGGCGCTGTGTATTTAACATTTGGACCGCGTTACCTTGTGGGTGACTTTTTCCCCTTTGGATTTTCTAGTCCTAAGTTCCAACTTGCTCCAAGAACAGGAGACGTTTTTTACCAGCTGGCTCCCTCTGAATGCCTTCTCTTCTTTCCTGGAAAGCAATGCCAAGGAGACCTGTTTCTCGTCCCAGTGGCCACCGCAGCGACTCTAAACTGGGGGGCTCCCCGTCGCCAGGCAGAGACAGGCATAGCACGAGACCAGAGAAATTCCAAAGCAGTAGAAAAACTCAAGTGACTCTGCTGAGCGCCACAGAGACATCAGGGCTGGTTACCATAACAACCCTAGGCAGCCCAGCCGTCATCCAGCTTCATTTGCTGACTCCCAAGGCTCTGCTTGCTCAGCTCCTGGCATTTGCAGAGACCCCTTGCCTGGGGGCAGCTCCTCACCGCCTGTACCCCTGCCTGCCCTCCAGAGCCCGCCCTTCCCCGGCAAGGCCTCTGGGATATTTAACTTAGCAAGTCCTTCGGAAGCGGCCCAGTGGGTCACGTGGGCTGGCCCCTCTGCACAAATGGCCCCCTTATTTATTTTAGCTACTGTTGGGGGCCCCCCGATTGTCAGCCAAGTCTCATTCTCTCTGCCAGGCCAACCTAGGAGGGAAGATTGCTGGGCCAATGCTCACTGGCTGAGGCCATTACCATCCCAGAGCCCAGGGTGGGGATTCTGTTGTTTGCTTTTTTAGGAACTTTCCACCCATCTGGGCACACCGCCCCCCTCCCCTTTGTTCTCCTAATGGACCCTCAAAGGCAGGCCAGACTGTAACACAGACTCCTTACTTCCCAGACAGGAAGATTAAAACGGACATGAAAACGAAGCCCAGGCATTGCTGGGGGGCTTTCCAAGCATCCCTGGCTCTGCACCCCAAATTCATCAACTGTTTTTCAAGGCTATTTTTCACCCTGATGCTTTCCGTCATGGTTTTTTTTTTTTTTTTTTGTCGGTTGTGGGGCCTGAACTCTGGGTCTGGGCACTGTCCCTGAGCTCTTCAGCTCAAGGCTAGCGCTCTAGCCCAGGAGAAGACTGAAAGGAGCTTGTGCTCAAGGCTAGTGCTCTATCACTTGAGCCATAGCTCCACTTCCAGCCTTTTAGTGGTTAATTGCAGCCAAGTCTCATGGATTTTGCTGCCAGGGCTGCCTCTGAACATGGTGATCTTCAAATCTCAGCCTCCTGAGTAGCTAGGATAGCAGGCGTGAGCCACCGCGGAGCCTGGGTAAGGATTGTTTTTCAAACGTACAAACTAGAATTTTTAAAGCAGCAAATGGGGGTTTGTCCAGCAGTAGCTTTCACTGGTAGCCAGAGAATCTGCTGCCCTGATCTCAGACCCTTGGCAACAAGAACAAACTCAGGGTGAAGCCTGGAGGCAGGACAGTGGCACAGGGGTGGTTCAGACATTTAATGTGGCATCATCCCAAACTTCTGTATGTCCCCTGTGCTACTTTGGAAATCACACTCAGAAATGACTGCTTTGGTAAAGAAGATGGGAGAGGGGAAATCCTCAGTAAAGACCCAGAGTAGCCATGTGTGGTGATGCATGCCTGCAATCCCAGCACTTGGGCAGCTGTGGCAGAGGATGACTTGAAGCCAGCTGTCACCCACCCACCCAGACACCGTCTCATCTCTCCTCCTTTCTCCACTGACACTGAGAATCACCTGCAGACATTTAGGACTGGCACTGGGGCTACTCCAACAGGCTCAGCCTAGAGCTGAGCACTGCCAGGTCAGGCTCCTCAACCACTCTGCCCTTCACAGCCATCCAGTGTCAACAGCGCTCCCTAGTGGCGGCACCATCCCCTTACTGATGCAGGCTTAAAGGCTCAGCATTTTCAAAGCTAAGGGAATTACTGGCACTAGTGGCTCATGTCTGAAATCCTACTTAACTCAGGCTGAGCTGAGGATAATAGTCCAAAGACAGCCTGGGCAGGAAAGTCTGTGAGATTCTTATCTCTAACTAACCACCAGAAAACCAGAAGTGGGGCTGGAAGGTGGCTCAGTGGTAGAGTGCTTGCCTTGCATGCATGAGGCCCTGGGTTTGACTCTTCAGCACCACATAAGCAGAAAAAGCCAGAAGTGGCACTGTGGCTCAAGTAGTAGAGAGCTAGCCTTGCGCTGAAGAGCTGAGGAACAGCACCCTGAGCACTGGGTTCTTTACCTCTAACCCCAGCACTCAGGAGGCTGAGGCCTCAGGATTGCAATTCAATCCAGCTTGGCCAGGGAAATTCATGAGACTCTCATCTCCAATTAAACACACACACACTGTGGTAGAATGTGAGCCTTGAGCATAAAAGCTCAGATCAGCATCTAGGCTCTGAGTTCAAGCCTAAGGAAAACTCCTCCCCCAAAAAAACAAACAAAGTAGCAAAACAAAAACTAAAGATAAACTCAGATTTAAATAAAAATACTTGTCTGGGAAGGTGGCTTAGCAGTAGTAGTTGTCTAGCATGCATGAAGCCCTGGGTTCAATTCCTCAGTACCACATACACAGAAAAAGCCAGAAGTGGTGCTGTTGGCTCAAGTGGTAGAGCACTAGCCTTGAGCACAGAGGCTCAGGCACAGTGCCTAGGCCGAGGACAAGCCCTAGGACTGGCAAAATATATTACATATATAAAGTTAAGCCTTTAAAAAGAATGAAATTGGGGCTGAGAAGGTGGCTCAGTGGTAGAGTGCTTGCCTTGCATGCATGAGGCCCAGGGTTTGATTCCTCAGCACCACATAAGCAAAAAGAAAAAAGCCGAAAGTGGCACTGTGGCTCAAGCGGTAGAGCGCCAGCCTTGAGCTGAAGGACAGTGCCCAGGCCCAGAGTTCAGGCCCCACGACCGGACCCCCCAAAAAAAATTAAAAAGAATGAAATTGGACTGAAGGCATGGCTCAGATGCCAAAGTGCTTGCCTAGCAAGTGCACGGCCCCAAGCAGAATCCCTAATATTGCCAAAGAAGAAAGTAGAGCATGTCCTGAGCATGTGTGAGGCGTGGCTTTAACTCCCAGAACTAAATAAAGGCCTGTCTCAGACTGGCAAAGGGCATCCAACTTTAACCTACCAGAGGGCAGTCAGGAGGCTAAAACTGGTCTGGGATGTCTCTGCCTTGCACTACAGACCTACAGGAGTGTTCATTATTGTGATACAAGGAATTAGGAAAGAGGAATAAACATGGCAAGCTTTCTCAGTCATGACAGGAATACCTGACACAGCATGTGTGGTAGGGGCTGAAACCCCGACTGGGGTGCTCAAGTGACTGAGGCAGGATCTGAGTTCAGGACCAGCCTAGGCAACACAGTGAGAACCTGTGCTCACCCTCACCGAAAAGTTAATAAACAATAGAAAAATGAAATCTTCTAGCCAGACACCCGTGGCTCACACCTGTCACCCTAGCTAGTCAGGACACGAAGACATGATTATTGTGGTTCAGAGCCAGCCCAGGATGTTAAGTCCATGAGACTCTTACCTCAGTTGTGGAAGTAGTGCTAGCCTTGAGCAAAAAAGCCCCAAGACCCCATTTCCCCCACCCTGCACACACACACACAAACTCTTGGAGTGCCAAGAGCTGCTGGGGCCAGCTTTAAGTCCTTTGCTGTGTCTTCAAGATGCTGAGGGGCTCTGCAGACAGCACTGAGATTGAGAAGAACCGACAGTTCGGCTGTATCAACGCAGCGCTCAATTCCACACAGACCAGTGGTTTTTTGTGTTGGTCCTGGGGCTTGAACTCAGGGCTTCATGTTCTCACTTGCTTTTTCACTCCCAGTTGGCACTCTATGTGAGCCATGCCTCCAGTCCAGCATTTCACTGGAGCTGTCTTATGGATTTTTCTGCCCAGAATGGCTTTATACTGATACCCCAGGTTTCAGCCTTCTTCTGAGTAGCTAGTATTACAGGTGTGAGCCACTGATCCCAAATGGGAACAATTTTGTGTGTATGCACATACTGGTACTGGGACTTGAACTCAGAGCCCAAGAGCTATCTTTTTTGCTCAATGCTGGTGCTCTACCATTTGAGCCACAGCTTAATTTCTAGCTTCTTGTGGGTTTTATGGGTCTTACAGACTTTCCTGCCTGGCCTGGCTTCGAAACTCAGTCCTCAGATCTCCAATAAACCACTAGAAAACTAGAAGTGGTGCTGTGGCTCAAGCAGTAGGGCACTCGCCTTGAGGTGAAGAGTGCAGGGACAGCGCCCAGGCCCAGAGTTCAAGCCCCACTACCAACCAAAAACATAAATAAAATAAATTATATATAAATATTCATACATATACATATATATATACACACATATATATATGTATATATATATTCCAAAGGGCTCTGTACTCCACACCTGTATAAAATGTAGCAACAACACTTGATTACATGACAAGAAGGCAGGTGATACCAACGTTTGGGTCAGAACACCTCAGCACCCCCTAAGGGCTCCAAGGAGGTAGGACCCCTCCCTGCCTGCCCAGCCTGCCCAGGGCTCTGGCAGGCACCCAGGATTTTGTGGGCCAGCCTGTCGCTATTCTTCTTGATATACTGTCTGTGGCCTGTTCCCCTGTTTTTATCCCTAGTCCAATAACCATGACCTTGAAGAACTTGAGATGAGTCCTATGCTTCTGGCTTTAATGGTATAAAAACTTCCACATGCCTTGCGATCTCTTTAGAAACCACTCCAGACAACACACATAATTAAACATACAAAAGACCAGGACCAGGTTTATACCACATCTGAACTAAGGGAGAAAGTACATAAACCCTGTCCATAAGAGAGTCCGTGAATCCGAGCGCTCTGGCTCAGTGAGGCTGGGAGGGGCGCTTTCTGGAGAAAGTCCCTCCCCTTGTTGGAACTTCATTTTGCTTTCCGGCAAAATGTGGGATCGATCTGAAACCCCTCTGCTTCCGTAAACGTTCTTAATCCAATTTTCTCCGAGGCGCCAGGAAGGTTGAAATTGTAATCGGTTGTGATGTAGGGGATGGTTCCCTCCAGCCCCCGCTGAAACACAAACACAAGGAGCTTGTCCATCCTGGGAGCAGCGCCATGACGGGGCAGCCCCGCCACACCCTCTCAATCTCTCTCCACACCAAACGCCAGCGAGGGTGGGTGTGCTGCGGGGTCTCGCGCTCCCAGGGCCTCCCCTCAACGCCTGAAGCCCCCAGACCTTGCCCTCCAGTGCCGGGGTGGTCTTGGGGAGGCCCCTCCTGCTCCTCTCCCCGCAGCCTGAGGGAAGGCCCTGCCCTGGCACCTGACGAAACACTGCTGCCCTCCTGCCTCAGGCCTCTGAGGCCATCCTGAAACCCCAGCTTCACCCCATCATTCTGCTTGCTCTACAACACAGTTCCCATTCAGTAGCTGCGAGGACTCCGGCCGGAGCTGGAGGCTGGGCAGGGGCTACGCGGGGCGGGCTCACCTGGGCACAGAAGATGCAAGGTGGAATGTTGACGGAGCCAATGAGCAGACAATTCACCGTCTTTAACTCTTCTGGGGGCACAGGGGTGAGGATGTGGTACACCCGCTTCTCCATGTCAACACCTCTACAGATCCCTTCAAGACACAAGCACCTATCAGCATTCCAACTGCTAACAAGTGACACTAACAGTCTCAAGTCTGCAGAGTTTTGCTTTGAGAATACAAAGTATCAATCAGACTGTCTGCAGGCTCTCCTGATAGGCTGATGGCAAGGCTCTGACTAGAAAGGACCAGGGTCTTCCAGGTGACACAGGACCACATGACATACTCCCTGGAAATGCTTTTTTTTTTTTTGCTGGTCATGGGGTCTGAACTCTGGGTCTGGGTGCTGTCCCTCAGCTCTTCGGCTCAAGGCTAGCGCTCTACCACTTGAGCCACAGCGCCACTTCTGGCTTTTTCTGTTTATGTGGTGCTGAGGAATCGAACCCAGGGCCTCATGCTTGCAAGGCATGCACTCTACTGCTGAGCTACCTTCCCAGCCCCCCTGGAAATGTTTTTGTTGGTTTTTTTTTTTTGTTTTTTTTGTTTGTCATGGGGCTTGAACTCTGGGCTTGGGCGCTGTCCCTGTGCTCTTCATCTCAAGGTGAGCACTCTACCGCTTGAGCCACAGTGCCACTTCTGGTTTTCTAGTGGTTTACTGGAGATAAGAGTCTCACAGACTTTCCTGCCAGGGCTGGCTTTGAATCGCAATCCTCAGATCTCAGCCGCTTGAGTAGCTAGGATGACAAGCGTGAGCCAATGGTGCCCAGCTTTAAAATGCTTTTGAGAATTAATGGTGCACAAATCTAACGTGCATTAATTCACTCATTCAGGACAGTGCGAAAGCAGACAGAGCACCAACAGTGTGTGTGAGAGGCCGCCTGGGAGAATGTGTGGCTGGAGAAGAGGCTAAGGCCTAGACCACAGGAGCTGGCAGGAAGCTGAGAAGGGGTGTAAGGAGAAGCGGAGCCAGCAGATCTGGTAGTCAGGGACATGACATCGCCGTCAACTCACCGAACCCCACACAGTCACAAATGGGAGTCTGGGCCAGCAGGATGGGGCCCCTGGTGTACCCTCGGATGTCATCCATGATCCTGCAGAGGCCAACCCAGCTGGCATTCACAGCGTACAGGATGTGGGTGGGGGCGACATCAGAGTGGGTAATCCGGATAGCAACCGAATTAAAAGGGACCTAAGGAACAAATAATAAGTGTGCAACCCCCACGAATCATATGTTTTGAACGATCTTTCTTCACTTCCTCCAACCTGCCCTCTTCTGTGCCGTATTGGAGGAGCTTGAAAGGGCCCTTACATTCTCCCTCAACTCTTTTACTCAAGGGTGGCACTCTACTACTTGAGCCATACCTCTACTCTGGCTTTTTACTGGTTAATTGGGAGGAAAGTCTTGTGGTTTTGGCTGCTCAGGTTAGTTTTGAACACAGATCCTCAGATCTCAGCCTCCTGAGTAGCTAGGATTATAGGCATGAGCCACTGGCACCTGGCCCTCTTGTTTTTAAGATAGGGTCTCCCTATATAGAGCATGCTGACCTTGAATTTCAGAGGCTCCTGCCTAGGAGTATGGGATTACAGGCATATGCCACCAGGCCAAGCTTGGCTTAAAAGCCCAATTTTAATTACCACCAACTGACTAGCCAGTGACGTAAGGCAAAGTCTACAAAACCACTACCAAAAAGAATGAAAACACCAGGGCTTTGTGGCGGCTGCAGCTTCAATAGAGACCGTAAGAGGCCACACACACTCTTTGTATACCAGGAACACTTGCTAGAAACCCCAACTGAATGCCTGGTACTTCCTGGTCTAAGTAGACACAAGAGATCTGGAAATGTCTTAAGTGAGTTAAAACAGAGGAAGACATCCAGTTAAATGCAAATGAAACATTGTTCACTGAGTCTCCTGATATAAGAGAGTCAGAATGGACTTTCAGAACCAGAAGTCTCTATTCAATTCCTAATGAGGATTAAGAAAGAGGACAGAGCCAGGTGCTGTTGCTCACACCTGCTGCTCTGGAGGCTGATGTCTGGTTCAAAGTGTATCAGACAAACTCTAGACTCTTACCTGCAATTAGGCAGCACTTGGGGGCATGTCTTAAGTTGTAGAGTGAGAGCACAAGGCCTGGGTTCAAACCCTGTCCTAAACACAAAAAATGGACAGGACTGGAGTGTGGCTCAGTGGTAGAGCGCATGCCTGACATACAAGAGGCCCTGGATGCGCTCCCCAACACCAAAAAAAAGGGAAAAAGAAGCAGTACCCACATTCCTGGGACTCCAGGAAGATGACTAACATTACTACTTCCTGGGTAATTTCAAATTGAGAGGTGACAAGTACTCTGTTACACAAATATTAGGCTTCAGGAAGATGTCAAGCAACAAAAAGGAGAACAAACCATTAGTCAGTGTGATTAAAGTCCAGTTAAGAGTATTTCCTGGGGCTGGGAAGGTGGCTCAGTGGTAGAGTGCTTGCCTTGCATGCATGAGGCCCTGGGTTTGATTCCTCAGCACCACATAAGCAGAAAAAAACGGAAGTGCATTGTGGCTCAAGTGATAGAGCGCTAGCCTTAAGCTGAAGAGCCAAGGGGCAGCTCCCAGGCCCAGAGTTCAGGCCATGACTGACAAAAAAAAAAAAAGAGTATTTCCTAAAAACAACTGACCCTGTTGTTGGTGCTGGTGGCTCACACCTGTAAACCTATCTTCTCAGGAGGATAGATTTGAAGATCACAGTTCAAAGCTAGACCAGGCAAGAAAGTTCATGAGACACTTATCTCTAATTAACCAAATAAAAACTAGAAGTGGGCCAGTGGCTGAAAATAGCAAAGCACTAGCCTTGAGCAAAATAACTCAGGCCCAAAAATAATCCCACGACCAAAAAAACCCCCCAAGAAACAAAAATCAAGACCTTAAAGAAATTTCACTAAACAAATTGCCTGACCCTTGGGTAAAAACAACAACAGCAAAAGACACCTTAGAGGTACTGGGAATGTGGCTTCGTGGTAGAATGCTTGCCTAGCATGCATGGGCTCTGGGTTTGATTCCTCAGTACCATACAAGCAGAAAAGGCTGAAGTGGTGCTGTGCTTCAAGTGGTAGAGTGCTAGCCTTGAGCAAAAGCAGCTCAGGGACAGAGCCCAGACCCAGGGTTCAAGCCCCAGGATTGGCAAAACAAAAACAAAAACCACCTTAGACACCTGGGGCTCACCCACCACTGACCAGCACCCGTCCGGGACGCTCACCCGGCCACCGGCCTGCTGCCGTTGCTGTGGGGCCGCAGACAGGCACCCCACTCGCCGGTCCCCAGCCTTCATAGCTCTAGGCAAGGTCTCTACTAGCAGCTCTTAGGACTGCCATAGTTACGGAGGCATCCACACGTGCCAGGCAGAGAACCTGGCTCAGAGCTGTGGCTCCCATGTGGCCAGACGGCACAGCAGAGCCACCTCTGCTTCTGTAACACAGGAAGTGCCTGGGATGAGGCCTGATTGAACCGCGTCTAGCTCAAGGAGACGAAAGCTCCACCTGGCCAGGCACTGGTGGCTCACACGTCAGTAATACTAGCTGCTCAGGTGGCTGAGATCTGAGGACTCAGGTTCAAAGTTAGCCCAGGAAGAGAAAACCAGCAAAAAGCCAGAAGTGGAGCTGTGGCTCAAATGGTACAGTATCAGCCTTGACTGAAAAAACTCAGGGACAGAATCAGTATCCAGGCACTGAGCTTAGGTCCTAGGGCCAGTTAAAAAAAAAAAAGAGGAAGGGAGAAAAGGAGGGAAGAAGGGAGGGAGCACATGGAACCAGACCTGTGGTCTGCCTAGGTCTGAATGCCAACTCTGCCATTGGTTTCTCTGCACCTTCGTTTATCCATCTATAGAATGGGGATAATTACAGAACACAAGGCACAGGGCTGTGAGGATTCAACAGAAAATGGATACAATGGGGTAGAAGGTAGCCAGTAGCAAGAGAAAATAAGACGAGCCCCATACCTGATAGGGTGTCAGACTGGGCAGGAAGCTTGGTGGTTTGGGCACCGACGGCATAAGCAAGCTTAGGTAACCTAACACGGCCAATCCTCGAAGAACTCTGTTATGTGATTCTCTGGAAAGCAGATCAGAAGGGTGTACCTACAGTCACCAGCTCAGAAAGACCCTCTGCCTCAGCTTTTCAAGGGCTAGGATTCCACACATGCACGCACACGACTTCTAAGGAGCTGAATAGAATGTCTTGCTTAACAGAAGGGCCCATCATTAGCCATGTGACAGTTTACTTACCTATTTTTTTGGGGGGGGGTCCGGCTGTGGAGCCTAAACTCTGGGCCTGGGCGCTGTCTCTCAGCTCTTCAGCTCAAGGCTAGCGCTCTACCACTTGAGCCACAGCGCCACTTCTAGCTTTTTTCTTTTTGCTTATGTGGTGCTTAGGAATCGAACCCAGGGCCTCATACATGCAAGGCAAGCGCTCTCCCACTGAGCCACTTCCCAGTCCCTACTTACCTATTTCTTATAGTTTTACAAAATATAAAATCTGACTGAACATATAATAGTTTATGTCCATTCAAGAAAACAGGACCGTCTTTCTCTTCATCAGTAAATTCCAAATTATCTCCCAAGTCTGGGAATTCGAAACACCGATTTCTGTGTCTGGACTTGCTTTTTGTGTACAAGCCATCCGTGCCTTCCACGAATTCGGGGGTGAGGATTGGCATGTTTCTGGTATGGGCCGTAGTGAACTGAACCACGTAGCTGGGAGCCAGCAGCCGGATGAGGTCAATCAGCAGAAGCAGCCCATCGTCTGTGAGGGAAGAGATGACAGCACTGGAGCACACACAAGACCAGACCACCCGACACAAACCAAACTTAGCTGAGGGCGCGCAATGAGCCAGCAGATGTCAAAGCAGCCAGACTCCTTATCATCCAGAACATGCAATAAACTCAAAACATCCCAAAACAAAGCACATTACAGCTGGACACTGGTGGCTCTGAGGATCGCGGTTCAAAGCCAGCCCATGCAGGAAAGTCTATGAGACTCTTATCTCCAATTAATCACCAGAAAACCAGAAGTGGCTGAGGTCGAGCACTGGCCTCGAGCTAAAGAGCTGAGACCAGAGTTCAAGCCCTACGATCACCACCACCACAACAACAACAAAAGAATGGGGGGAAAAAAAGGTACAGGAAAGCTAAGCACTGATATCTCTTGCCTGTAATCTGAGCAATTTAGGAAGCTGATGTCTGAGGCTCGTGATTCCCAGGGGTTAAAACACCTGGTGAGACATATCTTTATCTCCAACCACCCAAAGGCCAGAAGCAGGTGTGGCTCAAGTGGTAGTGTGCTAGCCCTGAATGAAAAAAACTAAGAAATAGTGCTCAGGCCCTGAGTTCAAGCCCCAGGACTAATGCGTATACATGTACACACACATCTGAAAAAAGCTACAAGATACTGAATATTTTCAGGGAAAAAAAAAAACAATAAAGGGGACAGGTAATATATGTGCCTAAAATCCAAGCACTTAGGAGATCAAGGCCGGAAAACTTAAGTGCTCAAGACCAGCATACAGATCAAGTTCTAGGTCAGTCTGAACTACGTAGCAAGACTGTGTCTCAAAAGCACACAATGTTCATCCATCTAAGGAGACAGATATGATCATGCTCACTTGAAAACAGTGTGCGTGTACTGATCTGTCATGTGACTCCTATGACTCAGGCGGGCTGCCCTTTCCCTGCAGTGTGAGCAGGCGGCCTTACTCACCTACCACCCAGCCCATCGTGTTGATGATCAGTGGTGACTCTCTCTTGTAAGCGCTGAACACATATTTTATTATCTCAATGTAGTTCTCACAGCTGTTTCTACAAGAAGGTTTCCCGAAATACACCATCTTCTGTGGGGTCCTTTGGTGAGTAAAGGGAGGACCTAGGAAGACAAAGGTTAGTGTTAACTCAGCAGAGCTGGGAACAGAGTGTGAGGGAGAGCACTTGTCTAGCCTGCATGAGCCCTGTCCATCCACAGCAGCATGCGTGTGCATGAGCATGCACACTCACGTGCACACATGCCAGATATATTAGACTTCACCAAAATAAGAACTTCTGTACATCACAACTACTACTGAGAAAACAAAAAGATGACCCGGAGCTGGGTGCCAGTGGCTCATGCCTGTAAGCGTAGCTGAGATCTGAGGATCACGGTTCAAAGCCAGCCTGGGCACAAAAGTCCATGGGACTCTTATCACCAATTAACCACTAGAAAACCGGAAGTGGTGCTAAGGCTCAAGTGATAGAGTGCTCACCTTGAGCTGAAGAATTGAGGAACAGCCCCTAAGCCCAGAGTTCAAGCCCCACAACGGACAAAACAAACAAACAAAAAAAAAAGAGATGACCCAGGAAAAAAAAATTCACACACTTGATAAGGGATTAATATTCAGGACACAGGTCCAGAAATATAGTTCTAGTAGCAAAGCGCTTAGCCAGCAAGTTCTGAATCAATCTCTAGTACTACAAAAACAAATTACAGGACTGAGAAGGTGGCTTTAGTGGCAGAGTGCTTGCATAGCATGCATGAAGCCCTGGGTTCAATTCTTCAGTACTACATAAACAGAAAAAGCTAGAAATGGCACTGTGGCTCAAGTGGTCGAATGTTAGCCTTGAACAAAAGAAGCTCATTGACAGTGTCCAGGCCCTGAATTCAAGCCCCAGGCCTGGCAAAATAAAATAAAATAAAAAGGGCTCAGAGATAAGCTGGTATACTGTGCATTAGCTTTGGGTTCAATTCCCAGCACTGAAAATAAATAAATAAAAAAGTAAGGATATATCAATAACTCCTAAACCTCAGCAAAATAAAAACCTAGCCAGGCACCAGTTGTTAAAGCCTAGAATCCTAGCTACTTAGAAGGCAGGGACAATCACAGTTCAAAGCCAGCCCGGGCAGGAAACATCATGAGACACTTAACTCCAACTACCAAAAAAAGCTGGAAGTGGAGCTTTGGCTCAAGTAGTAGAGTACCAGTCTTGAGCACAAAAGCTTAGAGATAGTGCCTAGGCCGTGAGTTCAAGACCCAGTGTATACACAAACATACACACAAACAAGTTTTGTGCCCATTTCTCACATTTTACCCAGATTTTACATACTGACTTTTTAGCGTCATTATTTTTGAATTTTATAAAGTAAGACATTTAGCAAATATGTAATACATACCCAGAACCGGTTCTGTAATATTCAGTAAAGAAATGCAACCAGGAGGCGTGAACTCTGTCTGCCCCAGATCACATTCTAAGTAGTCAACACAGGGAATACTGAAAGTTTTTTTTAAAAGAAAAGAGAATTTTAACATTAGTCAGTAAAAGGAGAAATCACTTTCTCTTTTTTGTCGGTCATGGGGCTTGAACTCTGGGTCTGGGCTCTGTCCCTCAGCTCTTCAGCTCAAGGAAAGCACTCTACCAATTGAGGCACCGCACCACTTCCAGTTTTCTGGGTGGTTTATTGGAGAAAAGAGTTTCTCGGACTTTCCTGCCCCTGCCGGCTTTGAACCAAGATGAGATCCTCAGATCTCAGCCTCCTGAGTAGCTAGGATTATAGGCGTGAGCCACTGCCACCTGGTGAGAAATCACATTTATAGCAATCAGAATGTTAGATTGTTTATGATGGGGAATAGCAGTCAATAATTTTATATCCCACCTTTTTTGCACAAGCAAAACCAACCACATGCAGTCTTCTAGGTAGATGGGCCTCCCCGCAGTGTTCATTCACAGCATGTGCAAAATCACCTTTACCTTTAAATACAACTCCCAGCCAGGCACAGGTGGCTCACCCCTATAATCTCAGCTACTCGGAAGGCTAGGATCTAACGACTGAGGTTCAAAAGCCAGTTCTAGGCAGGCAGATCCTTGAGACTCTTATTTCAATTAACCACCAAAAAGCTAGAAGTGAAGGTATGGTTCAAATGGCAAAGAATCAGCCATAAGCAGAAAAAAAAAAAGAGACTGTATGGCCTTGAGTTCAAGCTCTAGTACCAACACCAAAACAAGTAAGCCCCAGCAAGCTTCTCAGAAGGCTGAAAAGCGGAGGAATTTGGGCAATGCTAGCCTGTAAGTCTGAGATACTCCATCTCTGAAAGAACCAGCAAAAAAAAAATCCCAGCTGATGGCTCACGCCTATAATCATAGCTACTCAGGAGGCTAAGATCTGAGGATCTCGGTTCAAAGCCTGCCCAGGCAGTAAAGTACATGAAACTCTTAGCCCCAATAAACCACCAGAAAACTGAAAGTGGCACTGTGGCTCAAGTGGTAGAACACTAGCCTTGAGCTGAAGAGCTGAGGGACAGCGCCCAGGCCCAGAGTTCAGGCCCCACGACTGGACCCCCCCAAAAAAACAATTATAGCAAAAAAAAAAAAAAAAAAAAAAAACAATTATAGCAAAAAGCCAGAGGTGGAGCTGTGGCTCAGGGGGGGCAGAGCACCAGCCATAAACAAAAAAGCTAAGGGCAGAGTAATGGCACATATGTGTGCGTAGACATACACACATCTAATAATACGCCAAAGTGACAACAAAAAGACTCTTACCGATTTAACAGCTGGTTAATCAGGAACTTATTGAATGTTGACTTTCCAACATCCTGAGCGCCGCACACCAGGACGACCAGACAGTCGTCCATTTCTTCTGCAGGCAGAACAGACATTGACCTGGACTCAACCATTGTCCTCATTGTCCTTTAACGATGGGCAGCGATTCTGAGGGTCTGGGGCCATGCCTAGTGATCTGAAGGTAGTACTTACCCTCAGCCACACTGACCAGCTCCCGCAGTGCCGAATGGACGCTCTCGGTTAAGGTAAGGCTTCTTTTCTTCTTCTCCTTTCTGATGCCAACAGATCTCAAAGCTAAAGATTCAGAGTTGATCTGGAGTGGACCACTCTGAAAAAGAACAATTTAAACATTAAGGAAAGTTTAAAAAAATAAAAAAGAAGCTGAAGAATGCAGGGACAGCGTGCAAGCCCAGAGTTCAAGCCCCACGACCGACAAAAAAAAAAAAAAGAGAGAGATAATTACAAAGTGTAAATCTGATCCTTCCCTCTCTCCCCCACAGCTACAAAATTCATCAGCAAGTCACTATCAACTCTATTCTGAAGTCATCTATGTCTGCTTCCACAGTTCATACTTCCTCCCAAGCCGCTGTCACTCCTGCAGAAGGCTCCAGAGAAAGACATGGCATGCCATTCACCGAGCACCACGGCCCACACCTGTGCTGCCAGCACCGGAGGGGTAGGAGGCAGAAGATCTGAGGTTTGAGGCAACCTAGTAAGACTTTCCAAAAACACCCTGCCAGGCAGGGTCAGTAGCTTACACCTGTAATCCTCACTACTCCAGGAGGCTAAAAACCTGGAGGAATGCTAATTTGGAGCCAGCCCAGGCAAGAGGTAGAGCACCAACCATGAGCAAGAAAATCAGGTGTGCCAGATCCTGAGGTTCAAGTCCTGGTACCAGTACCCAAAAAAAAATTTTTTTAAGTTAAAACATAAAACAAAAGTTAAAGTGAGAGGCAGAGTTGAAGGGCTCTCCTCAGCTCCAAACTCACAGTTCACTGACAGTTGGTGACCCTGCCAGACGCTTAACAGGCCACCTCCCAGTCAGCACAGACAAATGGCTTGCTTAGCTCCACCCCATCTGTAATTCTACCTTACATCTACTGTCCACTAATCCTGAAGCTCAGACTCACTGTCTGGGCCAGGGGAGTCATTTATGGCAGAGGAACTGACTTCAGAAAACTAGCAATATGGCAGATAGGAACTTACTTACAAGAGAAAAGATGGAAGTGTAAGGACATTGACAGCATTTACTGTTTATAGAAAATTAAGATAACCGGGGCTGGGAAGGTGGCTCAGTGGTAGAGCGCATGCCTTGCATGCCAGAGGCCCTGGGTTCGATTCCTCATGACCACATAAGCAAAAAGAAAAAAGCTGGAAGTGGCGTTGTGACTCAAGAGGTAGAGCGCTAGCCTTGAGCTGAAGAGCTGAGGGACAGCACCCAGGCCCAGAGTTCAGGCCCCATGACCGGACCCCCCCAAAAAAAAAAAAAAAGAAAAGAAAAGAAAATTAAGATAACCATTAACGAAGTTCAATGGTTTTTTGTATTTTGCCAACCACAAAATGATGCGCTGCAATGTTTTGTTTTTGAAAGTGGGATTAGAACTCAGGACTGGAAGAAGTCCTAGAAGTGCTAGATTGCTAGCTTTGAGTACAAAGAGGATAAGGGACAGCACCCAGACCCTGAGTTCAAGCCCTAGGTCTGGGGGAAAAACAAAAAACAAAACAAAAAAAAGGAACACAGGACCTTGCATTTGTCAAGGCAGGTTATTCTACCACCTGAGACACACACCCTGCCCCCACCTTGTTTTGAGACAAGATTTCCAATATAGTTAAGCCTGGACTCAAATTCATGATCCTCCTGCCTCTCAAGGTATGGGCACTCACATCTGCCTGAAACAGCGACTTTTCTGTCAGTCATGGGGCTTGAAGTCAGGGCCTGGGTGTTGTCTCTGAGCTCTTTTGTGTCTTTCCCTTTTTGGTTCTGGGGATCAAACCAGGACATTGCACTAGCTAGGCAGGTGCTTTGCCACTGAGCTACATCCCAGCACTCTGAGCTCTTTTGCTCAAAGCTAGCCCTCTACCACTTTGAGCCACTGTGCCATTTCCGGTATTCTGGTGGTTAATTAGAGAGACTTCAAACCACAATCCTCAGATCTCAGTCTCACAAATAGCTAGGATTATAGGCATGAGCCACCAGCACCCAGCTGAAAAAGTGACTTGCACTGTCCCTGAGCCTCTTTTGCTCAAGGCTAGCACTCTACCACTTGAGCCACTGTGCCATTTCTGGCTTTTACTGTTTATATGGTACTGAGGAATCGAACCCAGGGCCTCATGCATGCTAGGCAAGCACTCTACCACTAAGCCACATTCCCAAACTCCCCCCCATACACACCTTTTTGATAGATGTGCATATACAGGAGTTTGAATTCAGGGCCAGGGTGTTCTCCCTTAGCTTTTTTTGCTCAAAGCTGGTGCTCTACCACTGGAGCCACAGCTCCACTTCCGGCTTTTCACTGGTTAAATGAAAATAAAGAGTCTCACAGACTTCTGCCAGGGCCGGCTTCAAATCAAGACCCTCAGATCTCACCTCCTGAAGAGCCATGATTATAGGCATGGGCCACTGGCTCTTGGCTAGACTGTTTCTTGACTATAGACCTATCCCACTAACAGGACAGACCGATTCAAAGAGAACACTTTATAGAGCAAGTTAGCTCGACTGTTTTGACACAATTAGCAAAACTGAATGAAACTGAGTTTACCTCTTGCATGAAAACGCAAGATAAGCCTGGAAAGCCGGTGATGAAGCTTACAGTGGGGCTTTTCAGCTGTTCTAACATCGCAAGGGAACACAGAGGAGAGAAATTCTTTATCGACCAAGATCTGTCCTCTGCAAAGAGAAAGATACATCACCTCAGGCGCAGCAACTCCACTAAACTCTCTGCCGTTCAGAGCTCCTAGCTTCTCTGCTAAAAGGCAAGCTGACAGTAAGTAGCTAATCGTGTTCTAAGCCCTTTTCAGAAGGCTACGTTGCACAGTAACAGTGACTTTTCCACATCTGGTTTGAGAAGTCATTTCATACAACATTCATGGCTTCAGAAAATTTTTATTACATTAAAAAGTACTAAAAATAACAGTACCTTAATGCCTACAAAAGGACCCTTAACTGAAAATAACAGTACGTTAGTGCCTATGAAGCCTTATGTGTCTGAATAGATATAGAGGTCCTGGATTCAAGTTCTTTTTTTTTTTTTGGGGGGGGGGGGGGTCCGGTCGTGGGGCCTGAACTCTGGGCCTGGGCGCTGTCCCTCAGCTCTTCAGCTCAAGGCTAGCGCTCTACCACTTGAGCCACAGCGCCACTTCTGGCTTTTTTTCTTTTTGCTTATGTGGTGCTGAGGAATCAAACCCAGGGCCTCAGGCATGCAAGGCAAGCACTCTACCACCGAGCCACCTTCCCAGCCCCCTGGATTCAAATTCTAAGCACAATGTCTAAACCACAGTAAGAATTTAAATACTATCAGCTTCATTATAGGAAGTCATCTGCAAGCTGCTCAGTTCTTTTCTTTACCTAGGTTAAGACGAGATCTGACCAAAGCCCGGAATTCCTTTTTTGTCTCTTTCTTGGTTTTCTGAGGCATGGAGTAACGAACCGCAGTGATATTCAGGAAAGCGTGTGTGAAGGTAGAGAAGAGGTCTTGGGGAGGCTGGCCTTGCCGGATGGTATAACCAAACACCTCCACCTCGCCATAGAGGCAAGTCAGGCGACACGTGCCACCGAAAGTAAACTCCTAGCAAAGAAAGAAGTAACATTATAGAACTTGTTGCAAACACTGAAGAAATGCAAACTTGCTATTCACATACCTGAAAATTACCTATTTCCAGGGGCAGATTACATTGGACTAGGTAATCAGCACACATCCTTCGCTTTTCTTTTTTCTTTTCCTTTTTTTTTTTTTTTGCTGGTTATGGGGCCTGAACTCTGGGCCTGAGTACTGTCCCTCAGCTCTTCAGCTCAAGGCTAGCACTCTACCACTGGAGCCACAGCACCACTTTTTTTTTTTTTTTTCCTGGTTAATTGAAGAGTCTCAGGGACTTAACCTGTCCAAGCTGGTTTCAAACTGTGATCCTCAGATCTCAGCCTCCAGAGTAACTAGGATCACAGGCATCCAGTTCCTTTTTTTTTTTTTGGCCAGTCTTGGGGCTTGAACTCAGGACCTGGGCACTGTCCTTAAGCTTCATTTGCTCAAAGCTAATGTTCTATCACTTGAGCCACAGTGCCCCTTCCAGCCTTTTCTGATTATGTGGTACTGAGGAATCAAACCCAGGGCTTCATGCATGCTAGGCAAGCACTCTACCACTAAACTACATTCCCAGCCTCCTTTACTTTTTTTGTGTATACAAGGATTTGAATTCATGGCTTTGACTGCTTACTGGGCTGTTACTTGAGCCAGGCCTCCAAACATTTTTTCGGGAGTGGAGTCTCCCAGATGTTTCTGCTTGGGCTGGCTTTGAACCACTATCCTCCGATCTCAAGCTCCTGAGCAGCAGGATTACAGATGTAGCCACCATCGCCCAACATTTTTTGTTTTTTTCCCAGTCCTGGGGCTTGAACTCAGGGTCTGGGCATTGTCCCTGAGCTCTTTTACACAAGGCTAGCACTCTACCACTTTGAGCCACAGCTCCACTATGGTTTTTGAGTGGCTTATTGGAGATAAGGTTTCCCAGGGACTTTTCTGCCCCTGCTGGCTTTGAACCACGATTGTCAAATTTCTCAGCCTCTTTAGTTAGGATTACAGGTGTGAACTTCCAGGACAAGCCATATACACATTTTCAACCTAAGATCCTATCTTGCGGCAGCTCCAAAGCAAGCCTGTATTTAAACTTGTTCATGCCAGTAACCCTACCTTCTCAAAAGGCTAAGAACAGTAGGTGTAAGGTCTGCAGCGCAGAAAATGTTCTGAAAGACCCCTAACTCCAAAATAACGAACTAAAATCAGAGCTGGAAGCCAATTACAAGCTCACGCTTGTAATCCTAGCTACTCGTGGGGCTGAGATCGAAGGGCTGAGATGCGCAGCAAGTCCAGAGACTCAATCTCCAAATAACCATCAAAAAGCTGGAGGTGGAGACTCAGGTGATGGATCGCCAGCCTAGAGCAAAACAACTGAGGGCAGGAAGTCCCGGGTTCAAGCCCCACAAATCAACACACACACACACACACACAAGCTAGAGACGTGGCTCAAGTGGTAGAGGGCCCTGAATCCAAGCCCCGTCCTCAGCAAGGCGCCAGGCTGGCCTCGTCCCTCCGCTTCCTGCCTTTCCCTTCTCCCCGCGGGCGAGTTCGACTCCCGGCTCTGCCTCTCGCCGCAGGGTAACCCCGGGCACGCAGCAGCCGTCGCTGGCGGCGCGGGTTCGGGCGCGGGCAGCCCCCCGCCGCGGCCCCGTCCCGGGCCCGCGCGCATCCCGCGCGCACCCCGCCTACCTCCTCCACGGGCAGCAGCAGCAGCGCGCAGCCCGGGCCCAGCTGCCGCACCTGCGGGGCCCGGCGCTTCTCCCGGACGCTCTGCGCGGGCGGCGGGCTGGGGAAGCGGATGCAGGGCGCGGCGGGCAGCAGGGCGCTGATCGGGAAGGGGAACGGGGCCAAGGGCCGGGCGTGGTACGCGTCGCGCGCCGGGCTGGGGGACGCGGCCTGGGGCCTCCGGGCCGCCTCGGCCTCGGGCTTCTCCCCGGCCGCGCCGGCCTCGGGCTTCTCCCCGGCCGCGCCGTCCCGCAGGCCCGCGCCGCCCCGCAGGCCCGCGCCGCCCCGCACGCCCGCGCCGCCCCGCAGGCCCGCGCCGCCCCGCAGGCCCGCGCCGCCCCGCACGCCCGCGCCGTCCCGCAGGCCCGCGCCGTCCCGCACGCCCGCGCCGCTTCGCTCCCGGCAGCCCTCGTGGGCCGCCTGGGCCTGCAGCAGCCGCCGCCGCCGCCGGTGTCGCTCGCACCGGCCTGGGGCCCGGAGTCGGAGGCGATCTCGGCGGCAGAGCACGAGCTTCGGGCGGATCTTGAAGATTTTGGACCACACGGAGCGGTAGAGCGCCCGGTTGAAACGCCTCTCCGAATCCGCCATGCTGAGCCACTGACGCCGGCCGAGGAGAATCTCGCGAGACTTACCGGGGGTGCCTCCCGCTCCGCCCCGCGGCCTGGGGGCGGCGCGCGCCCTCTAGCGTCGGCCTCCGGAAGCACGCCGGAGGCTCTGGCCCGGAGCAGGCTCCCGAAGGCTGGGCGCCCCCCCCCCCCACTCCCCGCATCCCACCCGGGGCTGCACAGTATTTACATTATGCAAAGGTCCCACCCCAGCCAGCTGGACGGGGAAAGCCTGAACCCCAGGGTTAGGCCACAGAGCCACCGCTCCGGAAATCCACCTGGGATTATTTTTTTCTACAGAAAAAGCTCCAGGATTGGAATTTTAAACAAAATCGATCTTTGCATACGTTCTATTTGCATTCATTTGTCTTTGGGCTGAAGGGAGCGACCCTGGGCATCGCGACCAGACTGGGATTATTCAGCTCACATTTTCAAGTGTCAGAACACAAGACTGTGGGTGGCGGTGTCCACTCAAAGCCATGTCTCATTCATTAACCTGAAGCCCAACCAAAGGGCTCTAAATGCTGCTGCTTGGCGGGTTATGGTGGTGCAGTCTCCAGTTACTGGAGAGACTGAAGCAAAAGGAAGAGGATCGCCTGCATTCAGAAGGTCGAGGTCAGCCTCTGGTTTAAAAAAACAACTCTAAGCCAGGTGATTCACATCTGTAATCGTAGCTACTGAGCAGTTTGAAGCCAGCCAAGGCAAGAAAGTCTATGAAACCAATCTCCAGTTAACCAACAAAAAAGCCAGAAGTGAAGCTGTGGTTCAAGTGGTAGAGCATCAGCCTTGAGCACAAAAGCTCAGGGATGGCACCGAGACTCAAGTTCAAGACCCCAGTACTGATACATACACACACACACACACACACACACACACACACACACCTCCATACCCTACTTCTTACCACAATAAACTTGTCCCAGCTTACCATCCCCCAAAATGCCAGCTCTCCCTTCCTGAGCCAGGTGAAGCCAAAGAGGCACCGGAGCAAGAACAGAACCCACCAACATCCAGCACCACTGGATACCACCTGGTTTGCATCTATGCCTGGGCCCTGCCCAGTTCCTGGGTGGGAGGCCAAAAGAAACAGTCTGATTTCTACAACAGGATTCCAGTCCCACCCCTTTCAAGGGCACACGAAGTCAGTTGCCAAGCATCCGGGCAGCTGCTGTGTACTGTATTTAAGTGGCTGGCCTTGTCAGAAAGTGCTGCTTGAGCATGCTGGGTACAGGGGCATCTGCTCAGCATGTTGCTCTGGGTGGTCCATCTGGTTGGCTTGCAGTTTTCCATTGCCAACTGCTGGACTTTTGACTGTCACAGGACCGAATCCTCACCTGACTTTAGTCTCCAGGGAGATTATCTCCTCGCAGGCCTGTTCCCTCTCCACTCTGACTGTTTGCAGCAGAGACACAGACCCCAGGTGACCTTCTGTGACAGGTGAGTGAGGACTCTCACATAGTGGGTCCTGTGGCTGCAGGGCCCTTCTGTCTGCCTCTGGGCTGGGCCCAGCCCTCGAGTTGACAGCCTTTCCCATCAATCCACATTTGCTCCTGCCAGGGTGATGCCTAGATCCTGCACAGTCCTGCCAACTTATACTCTTGTGATCCTTTTTCTTTTTCTTGCTTTTTTTTTTTTTTTTGAACTCAGGGTCTTTCACTTATGAGGCTATTAGGGTACCATGAAGCCTGTTTTTTACTTTTTTTTTTTTTTTGCCAGTTGTGGGGCTTGAATCCTGGGCCTGAATACTGTCTCTCAGCTCTTCAGCTCAAGGCAAGTGCTATACCACTTGAGCCACAGCACCACTTCCTATTTTCTGGTAGTTAATTGGAGATAAGTCTCATGGATGTTCCCACCTGGCTGGTTTGAACCACAGATATTCAGATCTCAGCCTCCTAAGTAGGTAGATTATAGGCAAGACACATCAATGCCTGGTTTTGTGAATGTATTGTTTAGATTTGATTAATAGTTAAATCCAGCAAGGTGCTTGTGGCTCACGCCTATAATCCTAGCAACTCAGGAGACTGAGACCTGGAGGATTGAGTTTTGAAGCTAGCCCAGGCAGAAAAATATCTCTGAGACTTCATCTTCAATTAACTGAAAAAATGCTGAACTGGAGGTATGACTCAAGTGGTAGGGTGCCAGATGTGAGCAAGCAGCCCGAGAGCAGAAGGTCCTGAGCTCAAGCTCTGCTACCAGCAAGAAACAAAACAAAACAAAAACAGTGGTTTATACCAGTGGCATATACCTGTAATCCAAACTATTGAGAGCTATTTGGGATCAAGATTCTCAGGAGATCTCAGATCAAGATTTGAAGTCAGCCTGGGCACACAAATCCTTGAGGCTCTTCTCTCCAATTAATCAACAAAAAGGCAGAGATTGTGGTAGTCCCTTGTTTTGTTTTGTTTTTTTGTTCCAATCTGGTGCTCTGTCTCATGAACCACAACTCCACTTCTAGCTTTTTTGCTGGCTATCTGAAGCGTCGCTGGGATTTTTCTACCCAGACCAATGGTCAAACTTTTGATCCTCAGATTTCAGTCTCCTGAGTAGGTAGGACAACAGGCACGAGTCACTGGTGCCTGGCTAATTTGTCATTTTCTTAAGTCTCCCTGTTGATATCCATAGATTCTGTTTCTGAAGAGAACTCTGAGTACCTCAGCCTTTTCTGCTACAGGACTTCGGAGCCTTTCATTGATTTTATGTGTATCAGCATGGGATGCAGCATTTCTTCCCCGTACCCCCTTCCCCTGGAGCCTTGTGAACTGCAGGGTCCAGGCTGACATGGCAGTTGTGGGTGACCTGAGGGATGTCCCAGCTCTCGCTCGGCTTTCCCCACAGACCTGACAGCTTCAATGGCCACGGCTACCACCTCTTCCAGGCCATGAGGTTTGCCATCGAGGAGATCAACAACTCCACGTCCCTGTTACCCAACGTCACGCTGGGGTATGAGCTGTACGACGTGTGCTCTGAGTCAGCCAACGTGTACGCCACGCTGAGCGTGCTTGCGCTGCCAGGGACACGCTACGTAGGGATCCGAGGAAACCTGTCCCACTACTCCCCCAGGGTGATGGCCGTCATCGGACCGGACACCACCAACCACGCAGTCACCACCGCTGCCATGCTGAGCCCCTTTCTGGTGCCCCTGGTAAGCTGAGCTGCAGCGGTTTGCCAAGCAGTAGCTCCTGTGTCTCCCTCAACCCTCCGTATATCATCTCATTCCCTGGAGGAGACACGTCTTGTTCCCTGCGCTCAGGATGTGGGAGTCCTCCATGTCCACGGGGCAGATTCTCACTCCTCCCCCAGGGGCGCCTGGGAGAGGATCCTAGGCCTCTCCCTGTTCCCACCCTCCCTCCCTGTGTCCTCACACACAGTCCAGGGCTGAGAGCTGAGGGCGGGGCTGCCCTTGAGGCCCACACTACTGATCTCACTGAATGGGGACCCCTTGCCCCCCTGCAGATCAGCTATGAGGCCAGCAGCACGGCACTCAGCACAAAGCGGTTGTACCCCTCTTTTCTGCGCACCATCCCCAGCGACCAACACCAGGTAGAGGTCCTGGTGTTGCTCCTGCAGAAGTTCGGCTGGCTGTGGCTCTCGCTGGTGGGCAGCCACGGTGACTATGGGCAGCTCGGTGTACAGGCGCTGGAGGAGCTGGCCACACAGCGTGGCATGTGTATTGCCTTCAAGGGCATTGTACCCATCTCGGCCAGGGCAGGGGACAAGAGGATGAGGGATATGATGCTCCACCTGGCCCAAGCCAGGACCACTGTGGTAGTGGTTTTCTCCAACAGGCAGCTGGCTGCCGTGTTCTTTGAGTCTGTGGTATTGGCCAACCTCACTGGCAAAGTGTGGATTGGCTCAGAGGACTGGTGCATCTCCACCTATATCACCCATCTGCCTGGCATCCGGGACATTGGGACCGTGCTGGGGGTGGCCATCAAGCAGAGGGTCATCCCTGGCCTGAAGGAGTTTGAAGAGGCCTACGCTCGGTCAGAAAAGAATGGCCCTAGGCCTTGTCCTAAGGATTCCTTCTGCAGCACCAACCAGCTCTGCCGAGAGTGCCAAGCACTTGGGGTGCACGAGACGTCCAGCCTGGGGGCCTTCTCCATGAGTGCTGCCTACAACTCCTATCAGGCAGTGTACGTCGTGGCTCACGGCCTCCACCAGCTCCTGGGCTGTTCTGCTGGAGCCTGCTCCAAGGAACTAGTCTACCCATGGCAGGTGAGAGTCTAGCTCCAGGCCCCCAATTTTATCTGTGAGAATGGTCCATCCTCAGATGGACAGAATAGACACATGCTGGCCATCCTATGAGCCAGTAATTTAATGACTGGTCTTTTCTTAGACCATTCTTTTTCCCTTTTTTCTTTTCTTTTTTTTTTTTTTGCCAGTCCTGGAGCTTAAACTCAGGGCCTGGGCACTGTCCTTGAGCCTCTCTGTGTTCAAGGCTAGCTCTCTACCACTTGAGCCACAGCACCACTTCTGACTTTTTCTGTGTATCTGGTACTGAGGAATTGAACCCAGGCCTTCATCCATGCTAGGCAAGCGCTCTACTGCTAAGCCACCTTCCCAGACCTCTTTTTCCTTTTTTCTATGCCCCAGAAACATCAAGGGACTCAAATCTCTGCAGCGCCTCTGGGTGCTGGTGGCTTGTGCTTGTACTACTAGCTGCTACCCAGGAGGCTGAGATCTGAGGACTGTAGTTCAGCTTAGGCAGACAAACTCGGAGATTTTTATCTCCAACTAACCAAAAAGATGGAGATGTAGCTGAAGTGGTAGAGTGCTATGCTTGAATGGAAAAGCTAAGGGACAGTGCCCAGACCTGGAGTTCCAGCCCAAGTACCAGCACAAAAAATAAAAGTCTCTGCAAAGAAGTTCTTTATTTAGAGGCCTCCCCTCCAGAAACTGCTTTGGAAGGTTAGAGGGCTTTCTAGGAGAGAAAGGGTCTCTGAGGAAGGAAGTACATCTTCTAGGTAGACTAGAATCATGTAG